CCCGAATTTCTATGAAATCCCCCGGGGGGGGGGGGCATTCGTCTGCTCCCTGCACTCCTTCCCTCCCCTTCCACCACCACAGAGTTACCAGCTGGATGCAGCTTTATCATTAAATGGGATCAGTATCGGCCAATATGCATCCTTAAAAATTGGCTATTGGTATTGGCCCCCAAAATCTCTATTAGTGTACCGCTACTGTTTGGCTATGTCTAACTTACTGAAAAGTGACATATACTGACAGTAAAGCAACTGACTTTCTCTTTCTTTACAACTGCAGTAAGCCACCACCAAAGTCATCCTTTGAATATGAAGACAGAAAAGATCCTGAGCCAGATCCTATCAAACGCACTTCTAACTGCACTGGCCAACATTTAAGCACCTTGCTTGAGGTAGGTCAATCGTAACTAACCAGATTAGGTACAAGACGTTTTCTATAGAGCAACTGGGGAGACATCAGGCATCTCCAAGGTGTGGTCCAGGCTGCCCAGTTATTCAGCAAGGATGTCATCTTTCTCCTTTGTGCAGAAGTTCAGGGCATTTGTGCATGCTGCAGTGCCGGGTGCTTTTAAAACCGTCCATTGCTGTGGCACATATATTTGTATAAATGGCAAAATGTGTGTCAGTACTGAGAAAATGGTGGTGGCGCACTTTTTGAACTAAAACATATCCAAGGTGTTTTAGTTCAAAAGCACACCACCGCCTTTTTCTGTGCACTGACACACATTTCACCATTTGTACAAATGCATGCAATGCAGTGCCAGGCACATCAGCTCACATGCTTCATGGACTCAATTAATCGAGTCTGCTCCAACATGCTGCACTACCAGCGTATCGAAGCAGACAAAGGTATGTGTATAAATGCCCTCAGAGCCTGCATCTACAGCTTTGTGTGGGACTACACGCACAAGACTTTGTGTGGGTTGTATGGAGGAGAAGTTCTGGCTTCTGGAATCTGCAACCCCACAAAAGGCTGCAGAAACAGGGCTTTTGAATATGTCCTCTGGAGGAGGTGCTCCCTCCAGCTCGGCATTTTGAAGCTAGCTTCTTCCCTGCATAGCACTTCAAAAGGGCAGCCCCTACCCTCCCTCCTCCAGATGAAAGAGAACAGGAGGAAAAGCCCCCAACCTGTTCTCTTATGGAAAAGGCAGGGAGCACTGCTCCCTCGTCCCCTATCCTACCCCTTCCAGACTGGGAAGGAAGCATACAAGTATTTGTCTTACAAGAGATGTTTTTGCAAGGGAGATCTTCCAGGTTGATGTCTGGAAATCTTCTCCTGGAAGGGGCGTGTTTCCTCTGAGGGAGAAATTGAACAGACACTTGTACAATTATCATTTCTACTGGGAAAACAGTGATTCTCCTGGTAGAATTGTAATGCTTGTGCATGGCCCCAGATAGAGGGGATTTGAACAGAGATCTTTTATTCCCTAGGAAAGAGCCCCAAACTACTAGGCTACACACTTGGCTGAACTGAAGTTAAGCCACTGGGAAGTCAAGAAGGAAGAGGAAGGGGGCTCAGGAGGATAACAGGACACCTGACTCTAGTCTAGTGAGATAAGAACAGAGTGTGGAGTTATGGGATCTGGTCTTCACATTATTTAAGAAAATCAGTTATGAAGACAATTGCTGAAAGTGTTGAGATATGGCCTATGAAGAATCCAAACAATATGTACATTGCAATCTGCAACGTAAGAGTGATGGACAGTAAATCTACTAAAAGCAACAATGCAAATGTTTCTTAAACAGACTTGGCAAAATAACTACATTAATTTTAACCTGAAATCTCAAATTTTGCAGTAACACAGTACATTGTGAAATCCCTTTTGTCAGCACCAAAAGGATTAATGCCAAATCATTTCACACTTAGAAATCCTTAGAAGACACACCCTGGATAGATTTTAGACTTAATACATAGAGCTGCATACATTTAAGAGCATGTAAGTAGGCAATGTGACGTGTCATATTTAGTCAATATTTGCAGTATATGTAATAATAATACCTAAACCTGAAACCATGGCAATGTAGTTCATTTGGATATAATATACCTAACATTCAGAATAAAAGACATCACTACAGCAGACTCACACATTGTGCAAGCTATATTATACATGCATGCAAATATATTATAGACATGCAGTATGTTTGTTAGCATCTTAGTCTTTATAGTCCTGAAAAATGGAGTCATTTTATTTATGACAGTTCAATTAAAGTTCAAGCTACTCAACATCAACCATGCCCTAGAAAAATCTGCTCTCTCGTGGCAGGAACATGCTTATAGTTTCCATGCCAACGTACTTCTGGCCTTCTTAAGAGGAAAAACTAATGTTCTGTTTTAAAGATGTGGTTATACTCTATATCCAATTAAGATAGATGCATCAGTCCTCCAATTCTGAACAGGGGCTTAAAACAGATTTCTTAACTGCTCTGTAGATATACAACAGGCCTCTTAATGTCTTCAAGACTTAATCCATTGTGTTTAACCTAAATATATTTTCAAAGTGACTGCTGAACAACAGAATTTATACATTTATGCTATGGGCCATATTAAAATCTACTGAAATTATTAATTTCTCAATAGAGTTATATATGTTCTTATTCTCTGAATCTAGTCGAAAACGTGCTTTAAAAAAAAATTTGATCAAATAATTATGGTATAACAACATGGTAGAGAGAGGGCTTGCATGGTGTTCTCAGAAATCACTCCTTCACTTTGAAACTCATTTCCCAATTTGGTCTGAATGAGTTGAGCTAAACTGAACTGTTATAGCTTTTAGACCATATTGTAAAACCTTTTCTTGCTTTTTGTAAAGATGAGAGAGAGAGAGAAAGGTAGTAGTTATTCTTCGTTACCAATTTCCCCCCAGCTTTTTAAGTTAGGCAAGCATGTGAAATGAGTTGTAAATGGGTATATTTTATATTTAAATGCTGCCAAGGTTGGAAAGGTTGTCTTGGTGATGAAACAAAATAAATCTTAGTTTCTTACCTGTTGCTTTCTTTCTTCTCTCATCCTTTTTGTCTTTTTTATTAGAAAATGAGTTTTCCAAAATAGAACCCTGTTTTAGATCTTCTTCAGTGATTAAATGAACAGGGTTATTTTTCATTTCCTGAAATAAAGATTATTCATTTAAATCACAAATAGGGGTGCACTGATAAAGATTTTCTTGACCAATAGCCAATTATTAAGCAGCCATATCAGCCCATACCAATCCAATAGCCGGTTTATAGGAATGCAGCCCGACAGCCTGGAAACCAATGCAGGCCAGTGCTGGGGTGGTACCCAGAGCAGGGGTGATGCTAGGGAGAGTTTTGGGGGCTATAGTCACCCCCAAATTCCCCATAGGGCCCCTGTAGCCACTCCTCCCAGTGCTGCTGCATGCCCCAAGCACAGCCGCAGCCCAACCCCCCCAACTGGAAGAGGCTGGTGCAGCCCCTGGCCCTGAGCCCACAGTGGGCAGCCTGCCTCTCAAAAACTGAAATCCAGAAACACAGCTTTCAGCTTCTCCTAGTGTTTCTTCAGCTTATTAACAGGACAAATTTTACATTTCTGTAGAAGAAAAGGTCTTTTCTCTTTATTTATACCTATATAAAATTTAAGTCATAAATAAAGTAAGACTAGATACTGATCCCAAAGACCAGTGATTTCAATTAAATTTTCATTTGGTCTAGGTGATACCAGAAGACTGTGAAACTTATGTGTATGGATCAGTATGGTAGAATCTATAAATCTATTCCAATAGCAATTAATTTAACATAACTTTATAAAATTATAAATGATCATTAATCCTTTCATAAATTATAACTGCATAATGCTTTACAGATGTTATATTGATAGGAATGTAAAGATGGCTGTGTAAAAATGGCACCTCCAAACGTCAGGCATGTAACTCAGTCGCATCTTGCGACTTAATTTTTCAGCACATTCAACACCACAACTTGGTCCTAAAATAATCATTCCTTGTGCTAGCATTTCCAGAGATCTCAAGACAGCTGTGGCAGCACATTCCTCTATGGCAAACAAAATGCAAAGTTGCAGAATCTTTCTAAGTGCCTGAAAGAACATACACAGGCCTTAAGTTTGCCAGAGCAGCACTGGGAAAAAAAACATTTTTACTCAGTCCTAAGCAGAAATTTCTCTGAAAGTCAATGATAGACAAACCCAGAAAAATATTTACACAAGATGTAAATGATAACATACTTTTTCAGCTTTCTGGTGCATCAAGTCACGGAACAGATCAGTACAACTATTTATAAATTTCTCACTGACCACAACAGTGTCAATAAAAACTATAGCTGAAGATTGTTTGTTGAAAGATCTCATCACTTGCTGAAGCAACATCCCAGAATCTTCTACTGATAATGAACTGGGCAGAAGAGTCTAGAATTAAGAAACAGGTGGTTAGCTGTGTTAGTCTAAAGTCAGGCAGAAGGAAGGGCAGGGTGGCATTGCAACAACTGGGAGCCAGTTACCAATCAGTGACATTTTGGAAAAGTTTAACTGTTATATGCATTTGTACCTATAGAGACTAACTGGTTCAGAGATGCACGAGTTTCCATAGGTAACAATGTACCTTGTTAGACATTATAATGAAGACAGCTGTTACCTATGAAAGATCATGATTCTTAGTCCAGTGACTCTCATCCAGGGTGATATAGCACCCCAGAGTGCTGTAATATCCTTTTAAAGGAGCTGTGCAACTGTTAGATGTGCAAACACCTACACGATTCAAGAGATAACCCCGAAGATTTCAAACAGAAATCCACAGTGTTAAACAGAATCTGACCTGTTGTGGTACTTCTGAGTTCTCTGCAACAGAAGAAATTCTCTATTTTTTTCCGATAGTCCAAAAATGAGCAAAAGCTACAAGCTTGTATTTTCGAGGGGTGCCTTTTGTCTAACCTAGTGGTTCTCAACCTTGTTAGTCTCAAAGGTACTACCCTGCCCTACCTTATGCCTGAATTAAGAAACACAATTATTTGCATACACTTAAGTCTCTGAAATGCTACCCTGCTTTACCCTGTATCTGAATTAAGAAACAAAATCATTTACATATACATTACATCACCAAAATAAGAAAGGGGCACTTACATGCATTTAGCAGACCTGCAGGCTTGCCCTCAATATAACCGTTTAAAATATACTATGCTTCAAAAGAGCCAAATCTGTCTCTTATGCGTACACTATTTATAATCTTCAAAGATCCCAAAGGGATCTATGAAGAGTAATTAATTTCACATAGCAATGATATGTAGCTACCTTTGGGATGGAATGCAGTAAGTACTTCAAAGCACAAGCAAACAGACTAGGACAGAAAGTAAAGAATTCTGTATCTAAATAAAAAAAACAGGGGGTGATTGAGCTAGACAGAGTACTACTCCTAAAATTAGAATTTAGTTTGGATTCAGTGGCTAACAAACTGAAAAAGGTCCTAGAACCTCTTTAAAAAATATTTTTTAAAACAACACCTCTGAACTATTTTTCTGCTTAGCAGAATACCAAAATACTGGTTCTGAGAAATTATCCAAAATGATTTTTATGGCAAATTTATTACCAGTGTACTGTAAATGCCTGAAGAACAGTTTAAGGGTCTTGCTGGTTACTGTATCTTAAGTTAACAAGAGAAGATTTAAACAAATAGAAGTAAAGCCAAATTAAGTTGCCACTTGACTAAACCCGGTAGAAATAAAACCCTCAGAAAAAGAGAGCATACCGCTATATCCACCCAGGTTCCAGAGCTGATGGCTTCATCTACAGAAGCCTCCACTTGATCCACAATTCCCTGACCAACACAGGCTGCGCTCAGAAATAAAAGATGTGAAGACTTGTATCTTTTCTTTATGTAGCTCACAGGGTCTGGGATGCCAAGCCTGGACAATGCATCAAATTCTATAAAGTTACAAGAGGTCTCAAGTTTTAGCCATTCATTACACTTTCAAAAACAAAAAAGAAAAAGAAGAAATTATTCCCAAGCACATCTACATTTCTATGTCTAGCTTCTACTTTTTGAAGCAAAGATTGACATTAAAAGCTAATGAAACTTCAAGGAAAATCTAGATATTTAGACACCATCCCTCTGCTAATCTATTCATGATCCCTAGTAAAGTAATTTCAATCCTACATTTTACAAATAAAGAGGGACCCAAGAACCCAACTGTAAATATAACTGGCCCAAAGGCAAAGCCTACTCAACCATGGTTAAGGATATCTGTGCTCCCACTGCCCCTTCCTAGTTAGAGGAATAAAAGCAGCACATTGTTTATTATGTATAATTTATATTTATCTACAATACATCTTCAACATCATACTAATATACTGTACTAATACATTTTCCCCTCAGAAGATTCCATTGTATTTTATCCTGGTGTGTCTTTTTCTGTGTCTATTTCAGTCTTTAGTTTTATTTTTTACTCAACAGTCACATTTTCCACTACCTTTTCTATTTACTCTTCTCAAAATTTACTACCATAACATACTTTACATTTATTTAATCAGTCTCTTCTCATACCTATTCACTGTAGTCCTGGTGACCAGGTTTTACAAATTTTAGACTTCAAAAACAGAAGGTTAAACATTGTAGCCAAACACGATCTAAACTACAAGCTAGACTGAATGTACACAGACTCTACCTCTCCCAGGAGAAACTCTCCTGACAGTGATTAACCCTGCTTGTTCCCAGGTTATTTTTTTTTCTGGGAATGATCATTTTCACTCTGGGAGAAAAATCCTGAACATCTGTACACTCATGGTTTCTCCTAGAAGAGCAACAACTCTCCCAGGAGAAACTGAATGTCAGTATGTGACCTGTATTTGGTACCCAATTTCCATACTACACTGTAATATGTAGCATATAAATATTGCTCCTATGCATACGTAACTTCTAGAAAAGCAAGCAGAATTAAGGTTGCCACCATGGCAATGTTCTTGGACCCTATAGTTCAGAGGTCGACAAAGTTTTTGGCCAGACTGCCAAAAACACCCCAACCTCAACTTTGCATGCCATGGGCACACGCTGGGGGAAACATGAGGGGCCCAGTTCTCATTGCTGGCGGTGGGTGCATGTGTATCACCAGGCAGATAGCAGGGGAAAGACGGGTTCTGCTGTCCCTCCCCTGCTGTTTGCTCTGAGGTGCGTGTTCCATTGCCACTGCTGCAGAGCCCATCTAGAGCTTTGGACCCCAGTGTAGCTGTTTGCAGCCTGCCACAGTTGGCTTGGGCTCCGGGTAGCTGCAGCACATGGTGGGCAGGCTGCAAACAGCTACACCGAGATCTGGAGCCGTGGCACTGGTTCTGTGGTGGCAGCAGCTGCACATGTGCCTCCAGGAGAATGGTAGGGGAGAGGCCAGGGTTGTGCTGCCCTGGCTCCTTCCCCACCATTCGCCCTGAGGTGTGCGTACAGCTGCCACCACCATGGAGCTGGTGCCAGGGCTCCAGACCCCAGTGCAGCTGTTTGCAGCCTCCCGGCTGCCTGCCACAGCTGGCCCCGGCTCAGGCTCCAGGCAGCTACTGCCTGCTCTGGAGCCCGGGCTGCTTGCAACAGGGCTTCCAGCCTCTCGGCTACTTGCTGCAAGAATCCTGGCCTCCGTGGCTGGGGCAGCTGTGGCATGCTGAGCAAAACAGCCTCATGTGCCATGCTTTGGCATGCATGCTGGGGGTTGCCGATCCCTGCTGTAGTTCCATCTTTTTTTCTTTTTTTTTTTAAAGCCCCGAGCTCTAAATGGCTGAAGTCCCCATAAATTCTCCACTTTTCATGCTTCTTGTCTGCTACAAGGGCTGCAAATCCACAGCTACACATCTCCTTCAGTCTACATTTCTGAGTTATCTTCTACAATGACTACAGGCAAACCTCGCTTAACACTGTTTCATTTAACGCTATTTTGCTATAACGCTCGTTTTACATTGATACCCAATTCCATTTAGTGCTCAGCGAGTTTCATTATAATGCTCACGGGCATTGTACAGCTGGCAGCAGGTTTCTCTTAATGCTATTCCACTTAATGCTCAGTTTTTTAGGAACCAAATAAGCAGGGGTTGCCTGTATTTCTATTTTCAGAAAAGTGAGGTATGGAACAGCCTCTTAACAGGAGCAGCAAAATACCTAAATGGTTTTAGCATAGACCTTGATCATTTAGGTACACGGCTGTCCAAATTCTGGGCAGTGGGGGCTGCTTGTCCCACAGGCCACATGTAGCTCACATTATACACCGTAGGAGCAGCCCTCCCAGAGTCCTTCCAGCCACGTAGGCATTTGGACCCCATTCCCCACCCCCACGGCACTGTATGGGCAGCCTGACTTGACTGTACAAAGAGAGCATCCAGCAAGAAGCCCTCTCCAAACCTTCTCCCACCATGTCATATTACCCCAGGAGCGGAAGCAAGAAGCAGAAACTGGAAGAGCTGCCACAGTGAGAGGAGTAGCTAGGCAAGAGTCCATGGAACACAAATTAACCCCTTGCAGGCTCCATGTCATCCATTGGCCACCAGTTGGACAGCCCTCATTTAGTGATATGGCTGACTGATACCAGGAGACCAATGTCTCAAAAAATTCCTTCCAGTTCTCTGTTCTTATATGAACAAGTTGTGTGTTATCCTCTCTTGAGGCCCATGGCTTTCATGAGCTAGTAGCAAGAAAAATAAATTACTTCTTACCAGCCGCACTGCTACTGCTGGGGTTCTGAATAAAAAATGTGAAAATTGACAAGGTTCTGGACAATTTTTACTCTACTGCTTCTCAAAACTGTCTAATGGAGCAATTAGGGCAATTTGCATATTTTGATGGATAGCACTACATGGGTTATACTTAATCTATTTCTGGAAGGTGGCCTTCACAACCAGAAAGAACCGAAAGAACTTTTTTTTTTTTTAAATTGGAACTTCTGAGTTTAATTTCTGCAAATCATACAAGCATAGAAGGTGGGAAGGACCTATGGAGGCCATCTGGTCCAGCTCCCTGGACAAGGCAGGATCATTTCTATCCAAACCAACCCAAACAAATGCTTATCTAGCCTATTGCTAAAATAAGACTAGCTGGGGTCATCTGACCTCAGTCCTCTTCCTTGCCTAGGGCAGGGGGTCAGACTCGATGACCTACTGAGGTCCCTTCCGACCCTAACATCTATGAATCCAAGACAAACAACCATGTCTCAAATGAGTGAGCTCGTCAAATTCAGCTGTACATCACAAGCCCCACACTAAGTGGAATTTTTCAAAACTTCCTTCTTTAGAAATTCATTTTTTCACTGTATATCTTTTAAAAGGCAGGATAGGTATGCACCTTTATAGACTAATCAGATAAATCATAATCTTCTGTGAAATCATAATAATCTCCCTAACAATTTTTTTTTATGTCTGAGATTTATGAACAGAAATTAAAGGTTTGCAAAAGAAACAAGAAGTAAGAAGAGATGAATTCCTCAGATCAAAAGAGGTCCTCATTTTTGGGGAACTGTAAGTAGTAGTGTAAGATGACAGAATCATAGAACCATACAGTTGCAAGGGACCTCAAGTGTTACATAGTACAAGTCCCAGATTTGTAATGCCTAAACCATGAAGAAATAAGAGACAAAACATTTTAAATATTTTTTCTTCTACATATTTAAATGAGGCTTCAGCAAGCCTTTGAACAAGCACATGACTTAATTGGCAAACTGTTTTGAAAATAAGAAAATGGGGAAATGATAAGTTCTTTAAATATGCAGCATAGATGCAAAGCAAAAGTTAAATAAGGTTAAAGCCAACACTGCCCTTGGTTAAAATTAGTGTGGTTGTAGAAAATGAAAGAACAGGAAATAAAAGTCTAAAAAAACTGCCTCACAGCCTTTTACAATCCATGGCCTTAACTTAGAGTGTTCCTCCTTTTTTTACTTTATTGCGCTATTAATTTTTAATTTCATAATTACATCTTCCAAGGGCATTTTTAAAGTAAAATATAATGGATAGAAAGTACATTGTCTAATAGTATTTATGAAACAACAGCAGTTTTTTTCCTCAAGTCTTTCTGGTCACTCAAATACACATGCCCACGTAAGTACTTTTTTAAATGCCTGACACAAAACATTGAAGTTGCGAGTTATTTATCCTTGGAAATTTGGAAACATGCATTGTTCACAGTACTATAATGTATCTAAAAGATACTTCATAGTTTAAAAAGACAAAAATAGAATTAAACAGTTAATAGTAACCAGATCAAAGTGTTCTGAGTCCTTTGAGAGAACAAGTCTCTAGGTTATTGGAAGGACTGTCCTTTTAAAATACAGGAACTTTAAAACAGCACCTCACTACTTTATCTAGAATACAATTTCCATCTTGGGAACAGCAGGCCCTTGCCACTCAGGACTTGGGCATCACTTATGCCTGCTACCCCTCACGCTCCAGTCAATAGATAGATAGATCGATAGAAGCATGAATAGAACTGCTACCTCCCCTCCTATAAGTAAAAATTTCTCTCAACAATGAAGCAATATATATGACTACAATGAAACAGTCTTCTAGTTAGGCAAGCTCATAGGCAGCACAGCTTGCAAACCTAGTAGTTCCAACCAGGCAGTTTTAGATGCTTATATTTTGAAAGGTAACACCAAGCCTTTACCAGAGGAATACAAACTACCGTAGTAGCATTCTATGTATTCTCATAAAGCTCAGTCATAGACAATGGCCACACTAGGGTTCATTTAATTACCTAACCCTAAGTCCCTTTATTCATAAAAAAAAATTAAGATCAGTTACCTAGGTAACCATTCTGCTTGAAAAAGGAATCCACCCAGTTGCTCTGTGTCCTGGCATAGATATCTGGAACAAACACTGCCTTATCCTGTCTCCCGCCAACCACTGTGCCTTTCAGACGTCCAGTGTTAACAAGTTCCTCTAACACAGCTGAAAGATAAAAACACACAAAGTAAGTTTGAATAAATATATGCATTACTAAATATATTTAAATTATTTTTCTTTATTATTTTGGTTTTATTGCATTTATCCATAAGGATTTTTATACTACGCATTAAATAAAACAGAATAACAGAACTACAAGCAATTGTTGCACTGAAAGGGTATTTTTAAACACTTCTGGGAATTTCCTGATGACAGCTCTGGCAAATGTACAGATCAAAAGAACAAAGCTACACTGACAGGATCAAAACTTAGAACACTGTAGCTTTGAAGTTACAAAACATGGTCAAAATGCTGTCTTCTCCTACCCAACAAATAAAATACACAATGATTTTATTAATACATTCTACAGTAATAAATATTTGGATGTTACTAATGACAAAAAAGGCACAAAGGTTTTAACATGAGTTGATAGTGAAAACATCCGAGATACAAAACTCTGTCCAACTGGTAACTACAGTCGATTGTGGCAGGGCAGTGTTTGTGCCTGCCACTTTAAGGGCCTGAGACAGCAGCTGGCAGGTGCCTGATGAGGACAGCCATTTTAGATTCACGGCTGCCCATATAAACAGAGTATTTTGTGGCTGGGAGGCCAGGCAACAACATTGCCTGGCTCCAGGTATCATCTAGAGGTAAGGGAGGAACTGTAGGGGATAGTCAGGAGGCTCCTGGTCCTGGGTATGACCTAAAACTGCACCCTGCCAGGGATGGGTGACCTGGTGTGGCTCCCAGTGGTGCGAGAGCCCCCAAGAAATTCCAGGCCAGTTACCACCCTGGTAAAAGGGGGGTCGGGGCACCTTAACCCCTAGCCCCCACAACCAGGTGGGTTCCTCACTTTGTAGGGTCTGGAAGGTGGACCCCCAGAGAGAGGGAGTGGGGCCATAGACTTGCACCTGTCTGGACATCCCCTGACTGGTCAATGCTGGGGCCAGGACTGGAAGGGTTGAAGGGCCAGGGGCCCACCGCGAGGAACGCCCAAGAGCTGCGGGCCTGGGGTTCCGACTGGCCTGGAGGTGGGCCAGGGCCAGTAGCCAAAGGTCCCGGGGGGACCACACCTGGAAGGGGAAGCAGTTCAGGGAGCTATGCTGCCTAGGATGAAGTTGGATTAGGCCGCTGGAATGGAGGGATCTTAGAGGGGTCCTGATTGGAGAAGTCTGGAGCCCAGCGTGGGGCCAGTGACTGTTGAGAACATCTGGATGCCATCTGCAAGGCTTGGGCTGCGGTGTAGGGGTGGAATGGAGCTGCAGATAGCACCCCCTGGCATCAGGGCAAGAACTGGGCAGCCTCCCGCTTGATTAACATCTATTAATTAATTACCAACAGGCATGGCAGGCGAGAAGGCAGGTGGTTGGCCCAGAAACAGGTGGGTGGGCCACAGTAAGATCGGCCTGGAGCAGGCCCCCTGTTACACTGATCTTCAATAATTAGTTAACTCCAGAGTCTACATGCATTCTCCTGGCAAGGATAAAATAGCAACCAGAACTACTAAACTATTATATTCAAACTATTCAAGTTGTATGGCATAGAACAGCTAAGATTTTTTACCAGCAAAAGAACACTAAATGTAGTCACATATAATGGTTCCTTTTTCTAATTCCATGACATGATTTCATGAGATGTGGAGACTAGAACTAAACACAGTATTGAAGATGTGAGTACATTATGAATTTATATCATAATGTTTTATTTTCAATTCCCTTCTCGATGATGCCAAACATTTTGTTGACTCTCTTGGTCATCGCTACACATTTAGTGGTGTTTTTGGAGAGCTAACTACAGTAACTCCAAGGCTCCTTTTCTGAGTCATAATGGCTAGCCCAAGGCCTGCATATGCATAGGATATTTTTCCTCAGGTACATTAGTTTGTATTTGGCAACACAGAAGTTGCTTAATGCTTATCTGACAATATTTTGTCTGCTCACATGCCTGGTCTACCTAACTGGAATACTGAAACAATACAACAGATTATACTTCAGTTGATTTTGTTACTCATTTTGCAATGTTTAGTCAAAGCTTATGGGGAAACCCCTCCCCCTATAAATGCTATTCACAAGATTTGTGATGCTAAAATTAAAAAAGTTGCCATACTACAAAGTTTGCAATACATAAAGCACTATCAGTTAGACAGGTATTGAAATGAAGCTGCAGAAATTAATACAAAATGGATAATTAAAGACTATGATTCTTTTAAGGTTAGCTCAGGGTAATGACTGTGCTTTCACCATGCCTAACATAATTGCACCATAATCCTGTTTGAAACTTCTAGATGGTATAGTACCAGAACCCAAACACTACTAAGATGAAATATTTGCAAGACGTACTCTCTTTTTTTTTAAAATTTGGAAGTGAAAATTATTTGTTGCATCCCATAAGATCTGAGTCATAGTTCAGTGAAGTCGTGAAATTCTTTCATTGGATTTCAGTGGCTCTGGATCTGACAAAATATTCAAAAATCAGGAAAATCTGTGTTTTCTAACGTTATTTGCATGCTATTTCCTGAACTGACATTCTTTCACATTTCTTAAGTGGATGTATTCTTTATTATAATAGCTTGAAGAAGATTAAACAAAGGACATGATAACAGTTTTCAACTATTTGAAAGAATGTTTCTACATCTTCTTTATAGCATTCTCCTTCGCCACAAAAGGCAGGACATATGGCAATGGGTTCAGACGGCAGCAAAGGAGGTTTAGATCTAATCTCAGGAAAAACATAACTGTAAGAACTGTAAGACAATAGTACAAACATCCTAAAAAAAAGATTAAATCTCATTTACTGGAGAAGTTAAAATATCATTCACTTTTCAAGATGACCACATGAGACGATCAGTCTGAAATTGTTTAGGAACAACAAATCCTGCATCCATGTTAGGACTGGACCCCTGACACCCTAGCCAACCTTTTACTCTATAAGGTCTTCTAAAGGATAAGAATATCATGGATCTATTATAGAATAAATGACTATTACATTGGTTTCGACAAGTTAAATTCAAAAAGTCCCTGAAATATGGTTAATGAAACAAGCTACGAGATGTAACACATATGCACTTTAAAACTTATTTTTAGTGGTACCATACATGAAAAAAGCAAAGAGACTTTGCTCTCGAGCCTCACTTATACCCTTTTGAAAGAGTTTTTCAAATATGACAACATTTGTGGTACTGAAATGGTATTCCGGCAAATGGACAAAATAAGAGAAAAAAAGTTATAAAAGTAAAACTTCACAGTAAATAAAAGGTTCTTTGATACCAACGAAACTGAGGAGAGAGGGATGGAGTATGAAAGGACAAGTTTTCAATTTAAGATAATATGAAGAACAAAGATAAAACAACTAAAAAGAGCCACCACACCCAAAGTCCCACAGCCACAGAAATTATCCCTGATGTTCTCTCCGTGAAAATGTCACCAAACCTGAACTTCAAACATCAGAGATTTGAGAAGGTCTTACTGAAAGAAATTGTATCTGAATATCAAAAATACTAATACGAAAATATTAATGCAACAAAGTGTGACAGATGTGCCTCAAACTCTACATAGCTGGGCAGATATAAACTGACTATGCTGAAATGCAGACAGTGAGATCCAATTTGAAATCAAAGGATTTATCTGCTTGTCTCAAACCAGTGAGTGAACTGCTGAACCCAAACAATACACCAAAGGTCTCCTTCAGATAAAGATCTTCATAGATTAAGATCTTTTATCTTTCTTCTATTTATAAGTTCTCTCCACCTTTCAAAATCTAAATACTAGTCTTTTACTTTTGAATATTTTTTTTCACTTTGCCAGTAATAAACATTTTGTTTACTTATAATAGCTAGACATTCTTCACCTATTGATTTTAAGTTAATAAGATAATTTTGGAGGCTCTTTCTGCATAGTCTTCCTTTACAATGCAGCTCAGTGTGGGAGACACACAAAGAGACGACTGAAGAAACTGTACCTAAGTATAGCACTATTTTTAATCAATATATTTGTAGTCATTTATTAGAGTTCTTTTACTTGCCTAATTCATAGCATGCCTTGGGCGTGGTACAAACCTTTATGTGATGAACAGCCTGGCCACGTTTCTGAATTTATAGTTTCTTCACCCAGAAATAATTCAGCCTGCCTATTCTTTCCTTCTCTGGGGTGAAATTTTAGGTTAAAATTATAATTCATGTCAGAGGTATGGAGATCAAAGTAGTGATTTAACATATGTGAGAACAAGAATTGTATGTCCCAAAACAACACAGGGAGTTGCACAGTAAAACCCTGGATACCTACTGGATTACCCTCTTTGCAAAATAGGGGGCTACATAGATAGCATACAAAGAAAAATGAAATGGGGAGCAAAAGATGAAGAACTGAATTAAACTTATTTCTTCCTTGTGCTGTTAAAAGAAAAAAAATCATTATATTAGTGTTCATCACTTTTAGAAATTATTAGAAGTGCACTGGTACATCAGTCCGATATCAGAACAGTAACGATATAAAGAAAATTGTCCATCTCAGGTAACAGTCGGATGGGGCTGATAATTTGGCCCATAAACGCCCATGCTTCATGCAGACGCAGAGGAACACGGGGCAGAGCTGGCAGCGTGGAGACATGGTAAGTCAGAAGGGGAGGGGGGAAGGAAGGGACAAGGGGGCACATCAATGCTGCCTGTGGTAAGTGAGGGGGCAGGCACTGCCCAGCCAGGGCAGGTGGAGGTGGGGGTATGGGACGGAGGCACGGTTCATGGGGTCGGGGCAGCTCCCACTGCCACTTGCACACTGGGAGGGCGAGGTCATGTGCCCCAGGATCTGCATGGCACAGGGAGGGCTGCAGCTATAAGGTGGAGCCAGACTCTTCTTGCCAGGGGCTGGGCTCGGAGCAGGCTCCGGTGGCATTGGGAGGAGGCTACAGCCACCCCAAATTTCACTGCAGCTCTGCTCCCTGCTCCGCCACCTGGTGCAGCCCTAGCTGAATGCCCTGCCTCCACCAAAGCACTGGGAAAAGCCAGAGCTGCACGGGATGGTGGTGCAGGGCTGGGAGTGGAGCTGTGGTAAAATTTGGGGTGGCTGCAGCCTCCTTCCAGCGCCACCAGAGCCTGCTCTGAGTCTAGCCCCCAGCAAGAAAAGCCCTGTGCAGCGTCGGCTCCACCCCACAGCTGCAGCCCGCCCTGCACTGCACAGATGTGGGGGCACACTCCCTCCCACTCCCACCCTCCTTGGGTGCAAGCAGTGGCAGGAGCTGCCCCCACCCCATGAGCCGCACCTCTGTCCCATGTTCCCTCCCCCCTACCCCAGCTGGGCAGTGCCTGCCCTGCCCCCTCCCTCATCATGGGGGGGCATTGATTTGCCCCTCCCATGCCCCCTCCCGCCCTCCTCCCCTTCCACCACCTGATAGCAGCTGTATCGGATATCGGTATCAGCTGATATGCCTCTTTAAATATTGGCTATTGGTATCAGCCCCCAAAATCTCAATCGGTGTACCCCTAGAAATTATTGTTGTTTGTGGTTAGCTTGAGGTAATTAAGGCTGACAACATATATTTATAAAGAACAGTCTGAAGGGAAAGGAGACAGGAGGAAAGGTGGGGTCAGGTGAGAAAAGTCAGACATAGAAGGTCACAAAAGACGAAACAAAGATATATGACAGCCTAAAGGGGTGAATAGCCATTTAGAAGAGAAGGAAACAGATACATTAGCAGAGCTAAGCCATGAAAAGCCCTGAAAGTAAAGAAAAGAAGATTAACTTTTATATGAAAAAGATAGCAAGCTGGTAAAGGAATTTGAAGACAAGTAGGACATGGCCTGTCAGCAGATAAGACAGATGATTTTTAAGACAGCATTCTGGATGGAAGAGAGGTAAGTCTGGGTATTAAAAAAAAAGGACTGGCAATATTGGAAGCAAGATATAATCACGGCCTGCACAGGAGATTTGGCAGTTGAGAAGGAAGTCTTCATGGATTTTATTTTAAAGAAAGCTTCACAAAATAATAGTCAACAACGTAAAGTGTACTTTCTCTCTCAGCATATAAAGAAATCTAGTGGAGAGCATAACAAAAATTCTGCCTCTGCTATTGCAGAGCAAAGCCAAAAAATGAGAATTCAGGGCAGTTAATGTCATTTGGCAATGTAAAATCTGTCCCCTTTTGTGTGTTCCAGTGATAAAACTGCCAGTAGCCGGGGGCAAATAATGAGACAAATGAAAAAAACGAGTATTGTACTTCTTGCATCATTCTGCCCCTAGAGACATTTTCATTGCCCTAAGATCCAGAGCGGCACTTCTAAGTTGTGGACAGCTCAAGTTGATTACTTGTTAAATTGGAAAGGATATCTGTTACTATTTATTTCACAACTAATGCTAATTATTAACTTGAATAATTAAGAATTTGCACATTAACTATTACATGAAACAGTCTAAATGAAACTCACAGTAAAGCAAATGTTCCTGAAATCCATAACGAGTGATCAAGTTACTTACAGGTGTAGGCCTAGAGAGAATAAAAGGATAAAGATGAGAAAGGCCTAGCAACCCTCAAATTAGCGTACAGAGTCCAGAAAAGAGGCAGAGCCTCCAGACTTGTCCTCAAGAGTTTTACTTTCTGCAGAACTACATAGCACATTGCCTATACTGCTAATGTCAACTTCCAACTGCTTATGAAGTTTCTGAATTGATACTGATCTGAAATTATTAGAACTGAGCTACTGTAAATATCATAAAAACTGCCAAGTTCAGTTTGTGATCACTATAAAGCCATTTTAATGATCCGATACAAAAAAAAATTTTATAAACAGGCTTTATTTTTCAGAATGTCACAATGACATGACACAAATGACACTTTAAAAAAACAATAACATGGTGACTGACAAAATCTGATTGGCTTAAATATAAGTTACAAGTGTCATTTAATTTATTTGTTGATTTCAGTTAATCTCCTCTCCTCTAGGAACAAACCTCACTTTTCTAGTCAAGCAGTTCAGTATGTCAGCAGATGACTGGGCTGCTGCAAAAAGCAAACAAATCTCTCTCACTGTAAACTGAATTGTATCTGTAGAAGTTTCATGCATAAGCCTTTATATTTCTTTTTTAATTACAAATAAATCATATTCATAAAGAATAATGGAAAACCTATTTCTACATGCAGTTATGCACTTACCGAGTCATTGCGCTAAACAGACCACGAATACGCGCCCGATGACGGGATACAAAGGCTTCTGTAAAAATCACCCCTCGGTTGTCCTGATCTATTTGTCCACGGATAATTCTACCCAGACGCCCAGACAATGCCTGTAAATAAAAGCTATGAAAAATGCTGGAAGGAGATATTGTAATTATAACACCCCCCCAAAATAAACAAAGAAACAAAAACCCCAAAGCAAACAGACAAATGGTGTAATATAGAATCAGAAAGTTAGTTCAGAAATAAGAATTTATTAGAAATTACCCTCTTTATATTGCAAACATGTCCTAACAGTCAAAAGATTGTGTGCATGTATTCATTTGCAGGTGAAATGAATTTAAGGGTGCACACCATAACCTGAATTATTGAATGATGACCTTCCTTAGCATTAGACATTAATATAGGACAATGAAAAAATGAACAAGATTGTAAATGTAATCCACTTTGTCTGAGGCTGCACAAGCACACCTCAGATTTAATCTGAATGCAGGGCAAAAAAAAGTCAATAGCCTATTCTTTCAAGATGTCAAAATGACTAGTTTTGGCAGAAAAATCCATGGACAAAAGAAAAGATGGTTTCAAATGTGCATTCTAAGACATACATTAAAATATTCAAATCACCTAAGAAATAAATAAATATGTCTCTGTTTTAGAAAACTTGTCCAAGAATTGATGGTGCTACAGACTTACATTATTCCTCAAAAAGCAAACAAATCTCTTTCACTGTAAACTGAATTGTATCTGTAGAAGTCTCATGCATAAGCCTTTATATTTATTTTTTAATTACTAATAAATCATGTTCATAAAGCACCAGTTTTTTTGATGTCTCTAAGCACCCTAAGATGTAGGGTGAGAACAAGTTAATGATCTCTTTTTTTTTTTTTGCTTATTTACTCTCATACCTCTGTCTATATCTCAGCATATGGCTACTGATTTCTTATGCTTGCTGTTGCTTTTTATAAATCCTTTGATGTCAGTAATACATTTCCAAGCTATCTGACCAATTCAGACTTGCCCCATTCCACAGAAAGGGGGATCCATCTTTTCTAAGCATATGATCAGACAAGGGTGTGATCCAGCTGGCACAATCCCCTCTGCTTAAGGGCTGGCAGAGCTTGAGTGAGACAGATAAGGCTGAAGCACCACAGGCCAGGAAACGGTCCTCTGGTATACATCAGCTGGTTCTCAGTGGTCAGACAGTGAACAGTAGAGAGGAATCTGGGGCAGAAGGTATGGAAGCACCTGGGAAGTGTCTCCAGGATGCACCGAGGCCACATCTGGGGTCAAGGTGCTATCATGCTAGGTGACTGCATAATTCAGTTAACTGTTGCTTAAATGGTACAGTGCCAGTACCAATTTACTGCCTATATCTTACAGTAAATACAGTTTGCTATAATGCATCTTGGAGAGTGCACAAACTGCTTTTGCACATAGCTTATTTCCAGCCTGGGTCTACGCTGTAACTTAATTGTAGCCTATCTTAGTGTCAGAAACACTGAAGATGAAGGAGCTGTCAAAAGGCTGCTATTAGAAGCCTTGAAAATGACAGGAGCTAATCAGTTTCATGGGTGCCATCTCTTATCACTTCAAGGCTAATAGCAGTCCCAACAGTGATTGTTAGAAGCCTTGAAAATGAGGGAACTAATCAGTTTCAGAGCTTTAAATACCACAGCACTGACAGTGCTGTTTATTTAACTAACACTGATTGTTTACATTAATTTTGGATAAGTGCAAATCTTTTTTCAATCCCAAGGTTATGCACTTAGAGTACATGGTACTAAGGTGGCAAGTTTCAACATAAACCTGCTAACAGCTGCTAAAATGCAGCTCTCAAATTTAATTTAATATGCTGCTCAAATTGTCATGTAACTGTAACCCTTCCAGATTGCAAACGAAGCTTTTAAGAGAAGAAACAGTTCTTCAGAAATAATTCTACATTCCCTTTAGAAAATGTTAGATAGTATGATGTTACCTGTGTCAGGAAGTCTCCTGGAAGGTCATATGCCTTGCAGAGTTCAGATATTGTCACTTGGCCAGTTTCCTGTAGTTTATCATTTACCTCTTCTGCTAACTGGTCTAAGTAACTCCTTATATGAAACCAGGGGAAAAGATATTAGCATCATGTACAAAGTTCAATATGCTTCTCTTCAAATAGATTTTTTCTGCCACATTAATTCATTTGTTCAGAATTACCATTTTTTCCATACTGTTGTAGACTTATCTAAATATGTTAGAACATGCTGTCAAGTGAAAATAGAGGGGGATGTGGAAATTCATGTTAACCAACATAATTATACAGGGAAAAGTTGCTTTAGTAACTAACTCAATAATGTGAAAATTTGTCATTTATTTTATTATTTTGTTTAAAAAGTTTGTTCACAATTCCTTAAGCAAACAAACAATCCGACCCAAAACAGATGCTTGGATGGGCATGCACACACACAAAGATGTTTTCTCTTCTCAAAAGGGCCAGAAAAAAAAGACTTACAGGACATCAACTTTAACATTATGTCTTAAGACTAAAAACTGAAGAATAATCAACAAATAGAAGCACCCCCCATTATAGTCATAACGTACTGAAAATGTCTAAAATCACATCATCATCACTCTTGAAAATACTCACTCATCTATAAGCTGTCCCAGAACAAGCTGAATAGCTCTATCTGATTTAACAATGTCATTAGCACGGTTTTCAATATGTAGCAGGTCTACATTTATTACCTGAAAAACAGACGCACGTACCCATTAGTCCTTTCAATTCAAATTAATTCTCAGATACTGAGACACTATTTTCACATTTGCATTTCTTGGGGATATCTATTTTGTAATAATCACATATATGCACAAGTTCATATATATTATAATTGCACACTCTATATACGTATACATACACTCACACATTCTGTTCAGTAACGTGGAGCAGAAGCATCCATGCTTAAAAAAATCTGCAATTGTGACAAGGTTAAAGGGGCCAATAAAATTAAGATTTCCATAAAGCTCTGTACTGAAACTATTCAAGCATCTTACAGAGAGGTTTTCTGGTTCCAAAGTAATTTTTCTCCAGCCAGAAGCAAAAATTAGTTTGAGAAGATTACTGGTGGATAGAGGTTAGCAGAGATGTAAGATTAATGAAGGAAGAGAGAACCCAAAGAGGCACACAAAGTTAATTATGTTTCTATGCATGTCCTCTCAGCTCTACGTTTTAATGAAAACAGACTTTTTTTATCCATTTATTCTGCTCAACTGAAGAAAGCAGAGAATTTAGAATTCAATCAAGAATTTAGCTCCCTTTTAGTGGCAATTTCAAAGATCCTGAAACAGTGCAGAAAGGAATGTTGCAAACAAGAACAGTATTTTTTTTTCTGAGGAAGCGTAGTACTTAGTACAGTGTTTGGAGAATGGTGCTTCTAAATCTCACCAACGCTACTCTAATCTCCCCAAAATCTACTTCATCCATTTGTTTATCATTTTGTGAAATTAGTGGTTTCACAAATATTACATTAATAATTTTGAACTAAGTGTTGGACTAACAGTATGCTTGGATATTGACAGACTGCCGATATGCAGAAATGGAGAACCACAGAAACAAAGTGTATTTAATTTTTAGAACAAGAAAGTTACCTGTTGTAAGTCAACAATGTTTACTCGACCTTAAAAAAAATACAAAGGTAATTTAGTATACCAAATATCTTTGAAAAGGTTTATAACACAACACAGCCAATGATGCATGAACAATTTCTTCATTCCACTTTTAACGGTTTCAGAATTGTCAAGCTAACAACACATAAAGCTGGAATCTGATCATCACAACATGAGATTTCCCATAACATTCTCCTCCGTGCACCTGACAACCTGAACAAAAAGACTCAAAGGGTAAAAGGACTGTTTAGGTTCCAGCCCCGTTACCTCACTGCCAAAAGTGCTGGTTATGGCGAGATGTGAGTGTTCGTCCACTAGTAATAAAACTGAGCCTGCCAACCCTATCTACATACTGCCATAAACCACTGTCAAATGATATAACTTCACTGAGGCAATAATCTGTTACTGGACCAACTGTAGGGTTAGAATAGGCTTAGACAAGTTTCTGGGTATCACAGTGAGACTCAAGGAAGAGTACTGATACTCAAAAACCTTGTTTAAGTCTTGCCCAAAAACAGAGCTGGTTTAGTAAAAGATATTACCCACAAAAATTCTTCTCTTGCATATTTCCTCAACCATCACTGCTACAGCCCTACTTCAACACTAGCAATAACTTTCATTGTGTGCTGTATTGAATCAACAACGAGTCACATAGTACAAGGTTACTTGAAGAAAAAACACTGGCTGCTGCACATAAAAGTGGCTAGTGTATTTGCTTATTTTCCAAATCATAGGACCCCATACACTACATACAGGAGAGAAAGAAGTAGCATCAGAAAGCACCATATGATTTCTTTTAATTTAAAACTATAGTTAAGGCATAATTGCTTCCAGTATGCCTGCATTGTGTAACACAGCAAATTTACAGATCTAGGTTAGAAATTTTACACCAACAAAAACTAAATCTGGTTAGTATTTTCCTCTTGTGCCTAAGAAACATTCTAAAACCAGCTTACGTTAAAACAATCATATGAGCACAGTGTATCTGCATGTCACTCATATAACTATGATGATCCTAAATTCATGGCTATGTTAGTAAAAGTTTTCTAATTTGGAAAAGCCCTTAGAAGAAGAGTCACTTAGTGAGCACACCTGATGGAACAGTCTAAAATTCCATTATGGAAACTTTTGTACTCATTCTTCTGACTGTAATTACGCCTTTATATAAAGTTCTAGCCAAGTGCCCATCAACAAGGATGGGGAGAACGAGGGTGGGTGGGGATGAGCGCCATCACCCACCAGCCTGAGCTGCTGCCGCCTCCCAGCAGGTGGGAGGAAGCTTGCTCTGCCACCCCCTCCATCAGCACCCTGCGCCACCACTGCCTCCAGCACCGCTGGCCTTGCCCCTGCCCTCAGCCCTGCTCCTTGGAGGCAGTGGAGTGGCACCATGACAGCAGGGACAGAGCAAGGGGCGAGGGCACTAGCACTGGCCTAGTCCCCTCCCTCCATCGCTGCCATCATGGCAGCACTCCCCACTGATTGGCTGTTTCACTAACAAGCAATGTTAGCAAGAAAGCAATGCAGAAAGTAATACAGCTGTAATCCTTCCCAAAGGCAAATGGATCGTTAACTGCTTTCAACCTGCCTTTGCAACCTGACTAAATATATCAGTGGTATTGAAATAAGTTGTGACTATAAGTAAGTAGCGTTCAGTAAAATCCTTAACGCTGTAAACCCAAACGTACACCTACACATTTATTTTTGGTCTAGCCAGTTTAAGCATTCTGTAGTGCAGGGGTGGCCGACTTGTGGCACGGGCAGCGCTTGTGTGTGGCACACAGCAGACTGGCAGGGGAAACAGGCGGCTGCGGCAGAGGGCGCAGGGAGCCGCCAGGAGAGAGGGCAGGGAACACAAGAGGGGGAGCAGAGCAGCAGCTTGCTTGGGAAAGGAAGGGGGCGGAAAGTGGAGCAGCAGAGCACACGCAGAACACAGGACAGGAAGCAGAAGGTTGGGCACCAGCTCGCTCAGGGAGCAGGTAGCAAAGCAGAAGAACAGGCAAAAAGGGCTCCAAGTGGCACTCCTTTTTTATTTTGGAAAATGTTTTGTGTTGCAGGTCAAATTAGCCAGATCAGTTCTAAATCCTTTCCGACTCAATCATTCAAACACCACACGTGGTGCTGGAACCAGCAAGTATGCTCCACCCCACCCTTTCCAGCCTGGGGCTTCAGATACTTCCAAGCCCACTGGCCGGCCCTCCAAGACTGGAGAAAAGTGGCACTCAGCCTCGGGGCGGCCGTAGGGCTTAGGCTACAGCTGAACCACAGGTGGATGGGTCAGCAGTCTACTTCTCCATGGCCCCACCTGCCAGGGGCGCCACTCCTGGACACCCACAGAGGGGCCCACAGCAGCAGCCGCAGGAAGGGGAGACCCGGCCACCCCGCCCCCCTTCCAGCCTGGCGCCCTGCACAGAGCCACCCTCCAGACGCCCCGCCCTCACCGGCGCGCGCCTGCAGCTCTTGTCGGACCTCCCTGCCGATCTGCGCGGGGGTGACGTACTCCTTCCCGTCCAGCGTGTGCACCACGTCCAGCCGCTTCTCGGCCACCAGCTTCGCCACCAGCTCCACGCAGTTCCGCTCCGATAGCCTGCAGCGGCAGCGCCATCGGCGTCACCGAGGCTTCCCCACCCCTGCCCTCCAGTGGGCTCCCCCGGGGTCCCCGCCGCGCTGAGGGGGTTGGGGGCGGGGCCTCCCCAACCACCCCCACGCCGAGGGGCTTCACCGCCCCGCGTGCGCATGCGCCACAGCAGCGGGACGGGGGTGCCGCTTCCCCAACCGCCTGTGTCCTGGGGGCTTGGAGCCCCGGTTCTCACCGCTGCGTGACCTCGGCGAACTGGGCGTGCTGGAAGTCGGCCGCCAGGCGGCGGATCTCCTCCCAGGCGGCCGCCATGGCTGTCCTGGAGCCGCTGCAGCCCCACGTCAGCGTTGCGACGGGCCGCGCGCGGAGACAAACTACCTCAGCGCCTGTGCCCTCCGGCTGCAGCGCCTCCTGGCGGAGCGGGGGATGTTCCAGTGAGGGGTGAGCTGGGGCAGGGCTCCGCGCACGCGCAAAAGGATTTCCTCATTAAAATAAGGGCGGAGCTGGGGATGTGCTATACAGTTGCAGAAATGCTAACACTGGGCTCGTCTACACGTTTATTAATTTGTAGTGTTTACTTAGTCCTTGCTTAATGACGTGCTAACTAAATGCACAGTAACTACAATTACTGCATGGTAGCTGGTGCATGGTTTTTTTCTTTGGTTTTTTTTTAGTGTACAGTAGGGTATTGGCATAGTTCTTGCCCAGCAAGCTACTGCATAGCATTATTTAAGCCACTGTGTATTCATGGCTGGACACAGGTATGGGTGAACCAGGTGGCAGCCAAGGGCCCAGACAAGAAGTGTGTCCAAAATGGTAATTTTATTATTACTATCTCTAGCAAAGGGGGGCCTGATACTAAAAGTTTGCCTGGGGCTGCCAGGAGTTTAGGTACAGTCCTGTGTGTATTAAGTGACTCGTGTCCTAAGACGATATGAAAAATAATCAACAGAACAAGCCCTCCCCACTATAGTGATACTGTACTGAACCGGTCTAAAATCGTGTTACATACAGTGGTCTTGAGCAGTGCTATAGCCAGGGGCGCCTAGGGCTCCTTTGCAGGCTGCCATGCAATGTTACCCCCGATAAGTCTGCCGGCACCATTTGCAGAGGCCAGCTGTAGCCTTATAGATGCAAGGAAATCCCACCTGCGTTCTGATGGCCTGAGTCCATACCTTGAGTTTGTTTTTACTTTTTCCTTAGTCTGTCAGGTGCATTGCCACCCTGCCCTATGCCTGGGTGAAGGTGCCAACCCACGGCGCTCTGCTCATAAGATAATAAAAAGGCATACATGTGTCTCACAAGAAAACAAATTTACATTGAGGAAGGCATCCACTCACTGGACATGCATGAATGTGGCCGTGGGCAGATCAAGAATTTTGAAACAGGAGGTTGGGATAGGCAGCTGCATGGTCACGTGCAAAGCAACACCTATTTTTTCTCCAGCTGGAAGCTAGAAGCTTTTGGCTGTACTGTTCCATTTAAGAGTGAAACTAAAACAAATATAACTTCACTGGAATGAGTTAAGAATAATTTGCATGGCTGGGAAATCAGAACTCTGTATTCTACCAGGTGCCCCCACCAGCTCAGAGGCTCTGGATGTACCTCACCCCATCCCCCCATAGTTTCAGCTTAGTTCCTTAGTATCTAGACTCAGGAGGGGACCAGGTGTCTGGAGCCATGAAAAAGTGGAGCTGCCAACTTGTTCTGGACAGCACACTGCACTATGCAGTGGAAGCGGGTGCAGCCACACCACTGCAGCCCCTGGATCTACCCCAGCCTCATAAGTTAATTTGTGTCTGCATTAAGTGACAAATAGTGTTTCAGACAAGTTTAGCTAGCCAACTTGCTGTAGCTAACTAACTTTTTAAGCCTTTTCCTCTAGTCTAGTAGAGGCCAGTCTGGGAACAGATAGGCTGATAGGGAATATTGATCACTAGAGTGCTTCTTGTAAGCAGAACATCAGTCAGAGAAACACTTTGCCTGCAGTGCAAATCAGACATAGTGATGGGGGCTGGAGTGAGTTTCTCCATTGCACTGCTGTAGCTATGTCTGAGTGACACTATTCCTAAATACATGCACCTTTTTCCATTATAACATTGGTCACTTTGGAAGAAGTTTATATTGTAAAAATGTCACTTTTAATTCCATGTTGACACAGCTATTGCAGCATAGCTCCAGTGATGTAAATGCACTGTGTTCTGTCAGTGAAGTTCTGTGTGCGGAGGAACATGACGTCTTGAACAGGGAGAAGAAAAGCTGTGGAAGTATTGTAGCCACTTGCTTGAAAGTTAGAGAGGAAAACAAGTAGTAGGAAGAAGAGTGTGGAGGAGCGACAAGGAAGTAAATCTGTGCACCTGGCTAGAAATTTAGCAGCTGTTGCACCATTTCTGAAAACAGTTATTTTAACAAGGAGAAAATTCCTTTCTACATGCATGGAGTCCTCCTGTGGTAATAATATACATCAGAAAATGAGGGAAGAAACAGGGATCTCAAATAAAGAGTATCAGTATGTAGTATTGACAATCCCTGGCAGTTGAGGATGATTGTCTTTCATGCTTTATCTGTGGGTCCAAAGATGGCTGACTAGGCTGATCTGGGATTGACAGATTCTACTTCGATGCGGGCACATGTTTCCATGTGGAGTGGGTGGCTCTGGATTCTTGATTTGTAAATTCTGGGTTGTACTGTTGTGACAGGACTAACAACCACTTTTCTTTTTAAGAATAAGTACCTTTTTCCTTGTGGATCTGTACACACGGCTATACAAATGGACACACGTTATACTAGTGAACTGTGGCCCCTGGAGTTTTAACATCTAAATCTTATTAAAATAATCATAGGTATATTGACTGAGGTCAAGTCAGAGGTAGATCTGTTTTAAAAATAAAGAAAAACCTGTGGTTAAAAAAATTGTCACCAGCAATTTGCTTTTTTTTCTCACATACATACAGAATCTATTTACAGTGAATTCAACTCCAATATTATTAGACGCTTTTTGAGAACTAAGGCTTATACAGTAGGTACATAGGTAAGAATAAAGTTTATTGCATTCATATTTCATTTCAGAGCATTCAGAGCTTTACTGGCTCCAGTCACGATTCTCACAAAAATTGCCTTGTTCCATTGTTTCAGACAGTATACCCTCAATGTTAAGGATTATATGGGCTTAATGATGGCAATTGATTGCAGACTCTTTACTGTAATATTATAATATGGATTGATAGTCATATTTCACTAACACAAAACAATGAATGCAAGTTTGTATGAGGCCAACATATACAATCCTATTGAATTCACTTTGGGAGCATCAATTCCCTTGTCTTAATTAGGAACAATAAAAGAAAATGATGGGGATATTAGGGCTGTCAAAATGAATCAGTGCTGCAGGTGTGACATAAAATACATTATAAAGTTTCATATTATACAATCCAGACATGTTCACACTCACAATTCTGAATTCTGCTTCCAAAGGAATTAAAAGTTCTAGTTCATCAACTGATCATGGTTGAAGGAACATGTCAATTCTGCTGATGATGTTCTGCAGTACTAAGGCATTATTCATCATTGGCCCAATTCTTGAAGAATTGTATAGTAGTGCTGGCTGCCAATGAAGAAATAAATTATGTAATGAATGGTCTTCAGAAATTTCTGGCAGAATTAGGTATCTTTGTGTAAAGACTTAAAAAGTTCGTTGCAGGTGTTACAGAATTGAGAGTAGGCGACAAGTACTGTTGAATACCACACATATTTGTCCAGTGCTATATTTCCCTAACTTTTCATACCTGGCACACACCTTCTTTCTCGATTAAAATTGGTACACTTCATTCTTATACCTGAGAGAGAGAGGGTCTGGATGCAACTACACATGCAATTAATGTGAAGCAATAGACCCCAGAGCTGTTTGAAATGGAGTAAACTGCTCCCAGGTACAGCATCTACATGTGCACCTGGGATACCACAAATTTCAGCTAAGGTGTAGCAGACCCCCAGCTGGCTAGGCTGACTGGGTGCAATTTATACCTGTGGTCAGTGTCTACAAAGGTGTTTCAGTGCAGTAAATTACTCAGCCATAAGATAGCATGGTGCCTGATAGTACTGTCTTACAGCTGAGTTAATTAGTTTACTGGCCACATGTAGATGTTGATGCTTTGCTGCAGAGCTAATTAGTCTAGTCCTCAGTAAAGTGCATGTGTAGATACACCCTGTGTGTGTGTGTATTCATGTTCTATTCCCCTGCCAGAGGAAATAATATCAGTACTGAGATATCCTGTTAAAAATGACACCGAATACACCTTTCTTTAAGCAAAGTATTAGTCTCAATATGGTGGTGATGCATAGGGGGTGCATGTGCATGCCCTGAGAGTGCTGGTTCACGTCCTATCAGGCCGTGCTCCCCACTTAGGTGATGGGCAGGGGGGCAGTTAGGAACGCCAGTGTCCCCACTGTGAGCGCTGGCCGGAATGAAGCACTGGATGAAACAGCTGTAGCGCTTATGGAAGTGGCTATGGCCACTTGTAGGAGCTCCATGGCTGCTTTCAGGTGAGTAAGATTGGTCAAGGGGGACCCCCTGCCCCCCAGTCAGCAAGATTGGCTGTGGGGGGGACCCTCTCCTGGCCAGGCTGGTCACTGGGGGGGGGGCATATGCCCCCTGACTCAGATGGCACCAGTCACCCATGTCTCAATACCAGTGGTTCTTAACCTTTTTAGCCTCAAGGCCACCCATTATATCTTTTCTGAATGTTGTGGCACCCAGCTGAAAATCACTGAGATAGATCTAAATTCAGAAAAGATATGGAGGGGGGCCTAACTTTTTGAGGCTAGAAAAGTTAAGAAGCACTGATTTCACTGATCTGACTTAAGGATGGTAGGGCAGGAACTTCACCCTGCTTTCCACTGCCTATACTTCCCTGGCCTCTCAGGGAGGGGAGGGCCAATAGGCAGCCCCACTGCCAAGGCTGCTCCTGAAGGTTTTGCACACCAGCAGCTACCTCCATGGCCTCTCTTGTCAGCCACGGGAATGTGGGAGGAGTGGAGGGGAGGAGCCAGGTTGCAAAACACAGCTCTGTTTGTGTGTTCTGCCCACCCATCCTCTCATAGTAGAGTGCATTGAGGTGGGTGGCAGCAACAGTTGGCTCTAGAGGCGCCACGGCAGGCACAGGGTTCTAGACAGAGGAGGAGAGCATTTACCTCTTCACACCAGGCTCTCATGACCAGGGATCCTGGTTTTCTGTTTCCCATGGAAAAACAGAGAAAACCGTGGATTTCCCCTTTTTATCAGAGAAAACGCGGATTTGTCATTTTAGCAGAGAAACCCACCCTCTGCAGGCTGGTTGAGCTCCAGCTTGCCAGAGCTGTTTG